GCTATCGGCTCAAGATCACCGTCACGCGACTGAAAGTCGATTATCATTGAATATGCGGAAATTCGAACAACATATGTAACTGTGAGAAAATCAAAAAATTTTGAGGATCGTGTCTTTCCTGGGGGGGGGGGGAGGTGCATTCAAAACAAAACAACTACAAGACCAGGGGAGGGGAGACGCTAGGGAAAACACAATCTGCTCACATTCTCGCCCACAGTCCCTCTCCCACAGGCTTAAGTCAGGAGTGCTGTAAGTGGCTCATCCACTTGAATGTCCTCACCCCCCCCCCCCAACGACAAGAGCACAGAAATTCTGTTTTTCATTATAAAAACCGCAGGCAAAATAGCAGTCAGGACATTGGCAACATTCGCTCAATGAGTCCACGATTTTTTCGGACGCTGCCCACAGTGTGCATAGAAGATTAGCGAAGGACAAAAAGAAAGGATAGTGCCCTAATGAACCTGTTTTCCTTCAAATCAGACCTCTCGAAACACCATTCAGGATGATTCGTTCTCCATGCATAGCATAGCACATAAACCTATACACACCTTCCATACTTAAAAAAACCCAAAAACTCAAAGCCCTACACGGCGTTATCGCAACATACGGGCATCTTTTAGGACTAAGCCTAGGAGGGGGCAGAATCTTTGAAGAAAATATAAAAGGCACACGCACCCTGGAGTATCTCCTCCTCTGTAAAATGTTTAGCTCCTTTTCCAGCGAAAAAGGCATGTTTTACACAATTTTGAATGCACTGCTGCCACAATGCCTTTGTATGTTGCGATAGCGCCCCCATACACCATAGTTATACAATTTTGCTACAAGATGAAGCACTGTACTGTCACATCATGAGGACAAAATCGTAAATACATTAGGACACATGCAGTAGCTGTCATAGTCACATCCACACATCTACTACTGCGTGAAAATTCCAGACGATGAAACATCCGGGAAAACCACACCTTATACTGCCTCTTCAAGATAATGACGGACAGCAAGAAACTATCAAACTTGAAATGTGAGAAGGTGATTGTGGTGCAAAGTGAAAGCGGTGTTGTACAGCGCGAGCGATCACTATGAACGCCTTGCACAATCATGATCGGACCTGTACACTGAACAGCGAACACCCTCAAGGCCAGCAAGATAAGCGTCTCACGCGTGTGACTCATGTGTATACAACAGCAGTTGCGCGAGACTTGAAAATAACGAGCACAGTTCAGCCACGGGAAAAACTGTTCTGTACTTCAACGCTTCCATGATCTCGGCAGATTATCAAGCCCTCACAAGAACCGCAAATCTGGTAGGGTTCACCCCAATGAAATGGAATGGTCTCATACTTGAAATGATTCTTCCTCTATTTCACTCCAATTATTACATGCTGTTCACATGTATAAACAAGAAACCTTCCAAACAAAACAAAAAAGAGAGAAAATGCTGCAATCGAGAACAACTTAATCCAGGGGAGAACCTCTCGCGGTATCAAACAACAAGACATTACTTAGCATGATTTGAGACACGCTCTTACGTGCGTGATGATTTCTACTCTGTTGCATAGCCACTTCCGCCATATGCTTTACTGGTTGGTCTCAGGGCTTTTGTCAACCGTGAGGCTAGGCTGTTCAGCGTTTTGTAGTGATGTCTGGAAGCTCTCACAAGTGGGGCGTGGTTAGGACAGAATGCGAATTTTTCGCGCTCCGCAGCGCGAAACATTCTTCCCTGCGGGAACCTCAGGTCAACTTCTGATCATCAGTGGTCTTGAGGTTCCCGCAGCGAAAAAACAGTGATCCTGAGGTTTCCGCAGCGAAAAATGTTTCGCGCTGCGAAACGCGAAAAAGTCGCTTTCTGTCGTAGTGAACCACACCTCAAAAGTGCACAGTATTACAGGATCTCTTCTATCTTTATCTCCTCCAAAAGGCTCAGTCCCAATAAGACACAGAGTGCGTGCTTTTCCAGCTACGCTCTCACCCTTTGGTTGACAGAAGCCTTTTAACCTCACTAGTTGTTAGGTGCAAGAATGGGTCAGTAAGAGGGTTGGAACGAATATTCAATGAGAGTTGATTGTGTCGTAAAGAAAGACATTTTCATAATTTTAGGAGCAAAAATAACGCCTGAAACGCTGTCTTGGGATGGGCCGGAAAGAAACGCCTAACACGGTACATGCAACAATAGACACTATTCACCTTTGCAAGGGTCGCGATGCTTGACGAACTCGTAGAAGCTGCGGAACAGCTGCACACGGGAAGTCAGTACTGCGATGATTTCATGTACAGTTAGTGAATCAACTGGCGACAATGAAATCACAATCGATTGCGCTCAGCTGGCATTCATTCATTCCTTTTATCATATTCCTCACACAGCACTGCCACATGCACTTCGAAGAAACCCCTTCATACAATCTGAACCACTCAACAGCGCCCATATGGCTTGTTAGATGCGTTTGCGGTTTGCCTCTACGTTAAGATTCATACATTAAGCATGTAGGTTCATCCACCTTTAAATAGGCTATTTTACGAAATCGCAACTTTGACAAGCGCGAAGGAATTCTTGTGCGCTGTGTAACGCACTGATTTCAGGCCTTCATGCAAGCTCCGTACACAACCCACCATCGCACATCGTCAGGACTTTTCTCACCCGACGCCGAGCATGTCTGGGAGGACGCCTTCGGATTCGCCGCTATCTTCCTGACTCACCCGACTCGCACAGGCGGGTCAACCGTTTGTCGAGTGTCACCAAATCTGACCTGATCTGGTCAAGCTGATCTCCGCTACAATCAGTTATCGTACTCACATTGCAATTCCACTTCGCACTTACATAATAGTACGCTGGCTTCAAGATTTGCTACTCGAGTGAGCTCAGAAGGTAGCGTGTTATTATATGTACACTATCGATAGCGTTTCAAATTTGCATCTACCACGCTTGAAAAAGCTGCTGACCACAAGGTGAACAAAAACAAAATCACGCATTTTCCCCTTTTTCTGCTGCTCACTTTGTGAAGGGAACGAATACTCACGCTAAAAACACACCTTTTTTTCAAAACGAGTTATTTCCCGTATTCATCGTTAGTTTCGATTCTGGGAGAATTTGAGCTTGATGAAAAGTTGAGGTAGCTATTGCTGAAGAGAGGACGATCCATGTGGAATGCACACCAAGAGTAGAAACTTCGAACAAAGGCGAAAATATTCGGGAATTCAGAGAACATCAATGAAAAAGTAGTGTAAAGAAGCACAGAAAAATTAAGAAGCTGGAAAAAAATAACTACTCAGGCAAGATAAAATAAAAACCAAGGGGAAGAAAAAACAACAAGACGGCACATAGTTAAATAGAAGAACGAAAAGCAATGAGGTCGCCAAGGCAATTACGTGAAGCCTCTATGTCTTTGCCTGTCTGTATCATGCTACAATCGAGGTTGGGAGATCTTTGAAAGCTGTTAAAGTGAGTTGTCGTGACAGACATCACAATAAATGACAGTAAGCAGAGGAGTTGGGATATATTCATGGAAAGATTTGCAGAAGGGATCATGCAGGGAAGCAGAGGCAGGGATCAAAACACAAACAAAAACCTGAACAAAAGAGGCAACGACAGAAGGTGAGAAAGTACTGAAAACATTGTCAATGAGGGGAAGGGAAAGACTAGACGGATAGAAAGAGAAAAATGCATAGAGCCGTGACAGTGCTTGGAAGAAAAGGGACGAAAAGGATTAGAATAACTGCCAAAGCAGGATAGGGACGAAATATTCTGCGTTGATCAATCCATTTTTTGAGACGCGCCCGCATTCTACTTCAATTCTGTGGAGGAACTTGAACGCTATCTATGTGACTTACCTATCAGATAATTGGTAGAGAGTAAGTGATTACGGAAGGATGGAGGACTTCGTTGGCTTGAATGGCATAAGATTCTCAGTGAGCGTCGCAAGGGCGCCACTTCGCACTCAACATGGAGATTGGTGGGAATAGAAGGGTAAGAAAAAAGTAAGCGGGGAGGAGATATAGAGAGATCAAAAAACAGTGTGTTAAAGCCACGGCAAAAAGCAAAAAAAATCTGGGAAGTAAGCTTGTTCCTGGAGCAAAAGTTAGTTTGTCTGCTTGTACGTTTGTAAGCAACAGTTTCGCCTCCAACAACCCTCCAAGATCGCTGAAGCAATTCAATGTGGATTAAGTAGAAAAGCGAGGATCGCAAGATATACAGGATTTCACTATAAAGATGACACTGCAATATCTCTAGTTAGGCAAGTTAGGAGTAAATAACGGCAGGCAGAAACATCGCAACTGTCGATAATGGATGAAGTGAACAAGTCTCTAACCTATCTCACTTTATTTTTCATGCCTCAAGAGCGGAGGTGAAGCAGCAAAAAGTAGCGCTCCTGTTGCAAACGTATTTGGATGATTAAACCCCTCAGTAATTCTCGATATTTGACCGACAAGAGAGGACATTTTCCTCAAACAAAGAAATGAATCATCGGAATTGTAGAATAGTAAAGGCGCACCTTGATCACCATTTAATCGCGTATCAGGCGGCTTCGAGGCTATTCTGTCGCATGCACGCGCCGGAAACTGGTTATACACCCCACCCAAAACCAGAAAACAGAGTTAAAACTAGGATTATAACACTTCCACCGCCTGACCAGAAAAACGTGAAAACTGTTCCGAATTTTTTTGCCATCTCGAGCAATTGCAGGAAAACTGCAGACAACTACTTTTATTTTGTTTCTTTTCGCAACTTACCCTATGATTCGGGCGCAAAACTTAGCTAGAGAATACTGTGTAACAATGAGATAAATCAAATATGGAAGTTAATTCGACTCCCTAGCGACTACATAGTAACTTTTCAATAAAGATGACATGTTTTTCATATGTTGGGAGTAGATTTTGGCGCTACAAACAGAACCCCTAAGAAAAGAAAAACTGCTCGGAAGCACTTTCTACCCCACGTTGGATAAATATGCAACCGCAGAAATTTTTTCATGACTTGCAAATATTAAAAAAAATGCAAACCTTCTGTAACTAAGAAAGAGAACAGAACACGATCGAACTTACCCGTACAGACTGGTCGCCAATGATCTTCGTAGTGATTTGAAGTATCACGCCTTCTGCAGCTGTGTTACGTGCACACTCTTCTCCATCATCATCTAGTTCTTGACGCGTCAAAGAATTCGACTTATTTGAAGGAGGTGGAAATGGGCCAGCCTACAAAAAAACAATTCATTGGAGACATACATACAGAACAGACCAAAAAGAACAAACCTTGAGCGACTTTGCCAAGGTGAGACCTCTATCAAGCGAGTTGGTTTTTGTATGACCTCGTCGTCTTGCACTTCCATTAACCGTTTCTCCGCTCGGTTGCAACAACGAATCATTCGAGGTGGAGGACCCCCTTCAACGTACGTATTGAAAGACAACACTTTTTCCAACACATTCATAAAACGATTTTTTCAATTCGTCTAAAGAAGTATAAAAAGGAGTAGAAAAGAAAAACTAGACCTCTGTGTATGATTCGTTAGTTGTTGAGCAGTCTCGATAGACGAACTTTGAGTGGTAGGTGTACTAAATTACAATAGAATTCTGGAAGACCTATTCTTGCGAACTGGTCGATACAGTAACACAAAATGACTCCACAGTACCTCTCCGTTTCAGGTAGGTTCAATCGAACAATAATTTCACTTGATACAGGATCGGGTAGGCGTATTGAAGGATTTCTTGGAGGAAGCGGTGGCGGAGATCGTAAATCGCTTGATGTCTGTAAGGAGCATGTGCAACCGCAACTTCTCAAAGCAGTATTATACAAGGCCTCAAACCTGTCTTGTCAGCTCTCTCGAAGGCAACGGAGGTGGAGGATGGCTAGGAGGTGGTCCAGTAGGCGACATTAACGACGAAGAAGGAAGGGAAACAGGTGATACTGAGGGATGCTGTAAAGACGAAATTCATTCTTACCTATAATTCGACTAGGCACGTGATCCGTGAATAAGAAATAATATAATATTAACTATAGAATGCTACAATATATTGAAACGAAGGGAAAATTCGTTCAAGACAAAAAAGAATAAAAAGATAAGGAGCACTGGACTCTGACCAGTCCATTTTGAGATGCGCCAAGCATCACACTTCCATGAAAATAGAAATGACATCCGTGATACGACACGGCCTACTATAATTTGGGGCAACAGATGGCCATGTTCGTAGGTATGGAAGTCTTGGTTGGTCTTGGCGAGGCTTGCTCCAGGGTTTGATCTCCTGCATGAGGTAAGCGGCTCACAAGCTGCTTAATTACCTTGGTCGAAAAAATAGCTTAAAACACTAATTTGAGATTTGAAAAAATAACCACTGAAAGTAAAAGCGACACATATGAAGAGAAAAGAAAACCCTTTAAACAAACAAAACAACGGGGGAGGGAAGGGCTTCGTGGAACGCATGGGACATGGTGGTGAAAAGTGTTGGCTCACCAACAGTATAATTGCCCAGGAAATTATGAAATTCGACCCTGCATGCTGATACCCTGGGTATGGGTATCAGCATGCAGAGTCGGTTCGCCAAGTACACAGACATCCATTTGTTCTGTAGCAAATCTATAGTGTTCCCACGAACCCCTTTGTACACCTTTGAAAAATGACGTAGTGGAGCTACGATCACCAAAAAACAGAGTGTTTGGCATGTAAGCTAAACAGCATATAATCAAAGCAGCGAAAGACGCTACATGCAAGATTATCTTATCCAGCAGAGGGTTTGCATCTCCAGGGTTCCACTGTGGCACTTCGAGAAGGTAAACCTCAAAAAAGTAGATTACACGCCTATCGCGGTTATAGAATAACAGCGTGTTTCAGCCACCACCTATGCTATGTTGTTATACTTGTCAAAGAATAAGGTATCAACTGACCTACGCCATAAGAACGGGAAGCTTAGCCAACCCGAGTGGAGCTCAGGCAATAGACAGGTAAGGTAATAACTGATCTTGTTGTCTCTGTGACATCTTGAAGAAGAAAAGTGGGACTTCACTAGTCCATACGCAGAATATCCAGGAATAATCAACAAAGACAGAACATTTTTCTTAGTTGCTGTTGGAGTGGCGAAAGAGTGCGCTGGTGTCGGCACGCTTAACGGCAAATTCACAGCCTTAAGAGGTCCAGAAATCTATTGGTATCGAAGAAAGATAATTTCTTCAAGTATTTCCCACCCGACGGATTGTGCCCATAATTCAAGCCGAACGCTATGAACAGCACCAAGTTGTTAGATTACAGTAATTTGGAAGGCTAGGAAGGAGGTTAAAAAGGACGCAGGTACTCAAACCGCAGAAGAGTGAATGTCAACTCACATAAAATTTCCTGTATAAAACTGAAAAATGATAAAAAGAAATAAAGAAAGAAAGTTAATTCTAACAAATCTCCAAGTCTAAAATTCGTATAACCTTTCACAGTACGAAAGGACTAATCAAAAATGCAAATAAAGACTCACGGAGAGCGAGATTGTCAAAGGGTCACACTCCATGATAGGTTCTGGCGGTCCGTAAACCTGCGATAACGAATTTGAAGGAGGGATTGGATACGATGGTCCTGCTCTCGTACTCATACTGTCAGATGGATGTACGACCTGGAATAACGGCTTTCATAACTTTGTGGAGAGGAGACAATGAATATTACAAAAACGGACGAGATTTCATTGTTTTACTGGAAGTTAAACGTATCACTGTGCTGAAAGACATGAATGCAAGTATTAAGTAAGATCATGCAACAGCTTCTCACGTTATAGGAAACTTTGCTTTTGCTTCCCAAACAGTTAAAATGTGTTCGACTGGTATTGAGCGAAAAACCTAACCTAGTCAAAATAGATTCCAAAACGTACCATCGTATGGGAGCTAGCAAGTACACGACGATGCCATGAATGCAAACTGGTAGCTTCACTGGCAACACTTAACGTATCACAATCGGATGTCACACCATATGTCAACCCCAAATCCCTGGCACCGAACTCTTCTCGCATTCGACGGCGTAGTGCCGTAAGTCGATCACGACGGGAAGCGGCGAGAGAACTCTCCTGAACGGTCCTACAAGTGCTACTGAGGAATGGTCGATGAACATCATGAACGGCTTACCACAGGAGCATTCATATAGGCAGTAGATGATGGGTGCACAAAGGACATTTGAGAAGATGAACATGGTGAACCAATTCTGCTTCTGTACGAATCTAACGGTTGATTAACCGTTTCTCTCATCACGGCCTCTGGAGGTGCAGGACGCTAAACACTGATTCTTTAATTCCGGACACAACCTTATCGAGGTTTGAAACCATACCGGGAATGATGAAACACCAACAGCCGATTCGCATGTTTTCTCAAAATCGACAGCGTCCTCGAACTCTTCAAGGTCCTCACTCATTTGGAATTACCGCTCAATATGTGGGATTAGATCTTACACGGTTGCTTGCCTGAGAAATGTACGTGGATTCTGGTAAATTCGTTGAATGTCAACAATGAAAGTGTAGCAAATAGAGGAAGTGAAGAAGTAATACACACAAATCAATGCAGCGAGCAAAAATTGGAGGAAATCAACCGAAAAATAGAAAAAAAAACAGAAAAGGAAGTACATTTATGCACGGCAGACGTATAACATCTAACAGCGAGACACCATTATAAGTGCACAAAGAGAAATCCAGAGCGAATTAACTCTTGTGAGAACTCATAAGCTACTATTTATACAAATGACAAATCTAGACTACTTATCAACTCTATCAAATGCGCCTATACTACAAATCGAAAGGGCCTAGTATAATACACGGTCAGCTTGGATTAGAAAAAACGAGAGCAAGTCCAGAAGCAGTTATTACCTCAAGTACACTTCTCAAACCTGTCAAAGATATGAGATAGACGATTTGGTAGTAAAAAGTGGCAAATTGAGCTAGATACAAAAAATGACTAAACAGTACCTAGAGCATTACATTTCAAAATTCGAAATGACAGCATCAGCGAAGTCGGTAGTGGAGGCATAGCTGAAATATGAAGACTAAATTTACTCATTGAAGATCACTGGTTCATTTGAAGCTAGCATAATATAGATTATACGATATGGTAACAAAAATGGCAATATGAGCTAGCGAAAAGAGGTGAAGATCAATAGCTGCCTCCCTTTTGAACTACTCTGCAAAAATTAGTCTGTCGTAGAATCGTATAATAGTGCGAAAATGCTGCCCAAGTAAACAGCAACTCAAAATAAGCCTGTCCTGTTCTCGGAAACCTCACACGACCGTGCCCTCAGTACAGTGCGACGCCTGAACCAAGCTCACACTCGTCCGCGAGCTCAAAGCAAGGCATGACAAGCGCTGCGATATTACTAAAATTCGTTATACGGTAGCTCTCGCAACACATCAAAGGGAAAGGGACTTGGTGCAAAAAGAAAAGTGCTCGTAGGCTTGAGGAAAAGTGGAATTGATGGCAGTCATTAAACTGTTTTTATGCCTCCCTTCGTCAGCTTTTTCACATTTCCACGTGCCACTCGCACTCAAGCAGGCATGCAATTAATCAACTAATGTTGCGAACTCAATTAAAACTGACAGTGAGATATACCACAACTCCTGCAACAGTTGCAAATGTTTTTGAAGATATTAAAAACAGCGTCAATACAAACTCAACGGCTTCTAAAGGGCATATCACCGACACGGCAGGAGCAGATTCATTTTTAAAAAAGTCAGAACTTGTGAAAAATCTGTAAGGTACAGCACATCCACGGCACATTAGCAAGCTCAAGCGATAATACAAAGTCTATACAAGAGGATTCTCAGTCAAGAACGAGTACATAGAAGATTGTTGCCACGTTTGTAAGGTATGCATTAGTAATATAACTTTAGTGAAACATGTGTGTAGAAGTAAGAACAACTAGTTTCTATTGCTAATATTCTTTGCTTTAGCCGAACAATAAGAACACCACAAACAATTGTGAATAATCAACTTTCACAACCCTAAGGCCGAGGAAGGGGAACGGTGAAGGGATAAGGAGGAAAACCAATCGCAATTAAGCTCAAGTCCAAACATTGCTAAAGTTCATTCCGACGTGATGTCATGATACTGATAAGAATCCATCTGGGCGCTCATCCGGTAAGGGGGAAGCATTGTGATGCAACGTCCAATAACTGCCCTCACGCCCACCCCCTGAACTGGCTTCACTCCCCCTGGCTCACGGGGTCCCGTACTTCGAGAAACCTGTGCGCCAGGGAGAGTGAAGGCAGTCTAGGGGGTGGGGTGAGGGCAGCCACTTGATGCCCCCTTACTGGATGAGCGCCTCCATCTGTGGTACATATCAACAACCACTGAGCACACAATTGACCATTACACATGGAGTGAGTTTTGCCAGGAGGAAAACGTAGGTGAGGCAGAAGGGTATTACAGGGGAAAGCGAAACCAACGGCAACAAAACTAAGTTTGGAATCAATGTTGAGATTTCATTCTCACATGTTTGTGATAAAACACAAACAAGCCGTCACCTATCTGCACACGAAAAGTTGAAACTAGCAACAAGTGAGTGGAACGGAAATCATGAAGCTGGAGTTCAACATAGGTGAGACTCAAAACAAAATTACTTCGAAAAAGATAAAAAGCTTCCCCCGAAGTATCTTCGCAGTACAGTTGAACAAATGAAGTACAAATAGTGGAAATTCTAAGAAACAAACGGAGAAAGCGCATCGACATTTAGGGCAGACGTTTACAGGGGAAAGCGAAACCAACGGCAACAAAACTAAGTTTGGAATCAATGTTGAGATTTCATTCTCACATGTTTGTGATAAAACACAAACAAGCCGTCACCTATCTGCACACGAAAAGTTGAAACTAGCAACAAGTGAGTGGAACGGAAATCATGAAGCTGGAGTTCAACATAGGTGAGACTCAAAACAAAATTACTTCGAAAAAGATAAAAGCTTCCCCCGAAGTATCTTCGCAGTACAGTTGAACAAATGAAGTACAAATAGTGGAAATGCTAAGAAACGAACGGAGAAGCGATCGCTTTAGCAAGACGTTGTTTCAACCCCCGATTTTCCTGAACAATACTGCTTCAAAAAAAAGCCGTTTTGTAAGAGATGCGCGTAAGCACTGGCGAAGGAACACTCCATAAAAGATAAATGGATAAAGCGTAACCTGTCTTGCCTGAGAATTTCAAAGATTGATAATTTTCTGATATATCCTGGATATTCCAAAGTAATCACTACAGATGTGGCAGTTTACTTTTGAAAAAAGCATTTATAAACGTGGCCAGGATAATAAAGAATAAAGCAGTTGCCGTTGATCAATCCCTTTTTGGAATGCGGCACGCATTCTACATCCACTTTTACATTCGAAGAGGCGTTTGAATGCACCTTGGCCTATACACTTGCGGGCCCAGCCAATTTAGTCCAGGAAGTGCGGCAAACGTCCTTGGTAAGGTACAGAATTTCATCCAGAGATTTCTGAAGACACCATACACCTTTCGCCCACCACCATTGATGTCCACTGCCTTGACTGCAACACGAGACCACTTCATATAAAACGAAAGAGCTTTTTTCGAAAAAGGCTCAATCTGGAGTGAACACAAGTTGCATATACTAGGAGCAGCAAAGAGGAGGCGCCCACTTCTCTAGTAAATGACTAGAATGAATTTCAACAGCCTGACTTGTTTACCACAATAAGCAGTAATTATGCAGAATCAAGTCAACGCGGAACCACCTATACAATGTAGAGCTGCCACAAGATTATTGGCACCAATTCTCTCAAAATCGCAGAAATTCCATAACTGCTGCTGCCGGAGTTGACAGAACTCAGCGCGAAGGGGAAACTGAGTCATCAAAATTTATTGGCCTCCTCAAAATGATCACTGATCGATGCGAATACTTCCACTATGTTTGAACACCGCATCGAACTTTGCTCTGGGATCTTACAGAACGTGTACACTGATTGATAACCTTTTCCTTTTACTTATCTTAAAGGGATGTGTAATGTGTGACAAACCGAAGACATCTTTGAACAAAAACAGATGAGCTGAACAAGAGAAAATTTCCGAATTTGGAAGATGTACGGATCGAAGAGAAGTATGCAACATGCTCGGGTGGAATCTCTGACATCTGCGGAGCTGATAAACGAGCCGATCGGGACATTTTCACCACACTTTACAACTCAAGCTGTAGAAAAACGCGGTTCTTTAATTTTTATATCGCTAGTTCACTCCACAGAACGAACGAAAGCTGTCTAAATTATCAGCAAATATACCCATGTACTTCGATGAATAGTGCAAAAGGATGGCAGCTATTGAGGCAGAGATAGTAACTCCCTTTTGCAGCAGATGTCAAGTGAGTAAAAGCGAACTGAATCAATAATAGGCAGAATTAGTTCGATTATGCAGTGAACTGCAGAATGAAACCACTGCACTTTTCAAAAAAAAAGCCGAAATCACAATTATACTTTTCGAAAAGTACCGATTTCTCCCACAATTGTTCACGATAAAAGGAAAAAACGCCGAATTTTTCATTCACCTCTGATTTGGAACGGATGGAAGGAAGGACGGAGAAGGTCCCACTTCCAAATAGAAAAAACCTCCCATTTTGGAATTATCAGAAAACTGACTACTATAAAAGCAAGCTGACCAATAATCAATCAGGACAGCAAAACCAAAACGTAATAAAGAGGTCGAGCAGCTGTGGCTAACTTGAAGTAACAGTCAACATATTCATAAAATATGTATGACCAGTTGCAAATCAAACTACTTACCCTCCCATATCCCTCGTGCGGACTTTCCCATCGCGGATGACCTTCTCCACTGACGTCCGTAAAGCTTTGGCGTAATCGGTGAGATGAAGATGATTTAACATATTCGCCGCACACAAGATCATTGCCGTCGGATTGGCAATTGACCTGAACTTCTCTGCTTAGACAGCTACTGGAATACTATTCTGGACCACTGACGGCGTTAAAATAAGTCAAAAATTGATATCTGCTAAAGCTTTCAGCCTTGCAGTTTACTGCCGATACTGCCTGACCGACTCAGCACATAGGACGTGTGAGTGCTGATAAGCTATGGTAAGTACACCACCAAAAGCTGAGTTACAGCGAAAGAATGCCCAGGTGGTGGAACTTGTAGAGGACTTGCCCTATAAGCGAGTGGTGAGGGTTTTGGGGAGTTTTGTTCATAACTCAGTATTCTTGTGAAACTATCGCACATTATTGGCCGATGTCAGACTTTGCGATTGGAGCGATTGTGCACAAATTGCAGGAGCGACGGATCGCTTGATCGATCCATCGCGGCGACCGACGGTTTACACGGCCGACCAACGATAATTCGGCGCCACCAGCTCGTAAATCTCCCGTCGCTCGCAGCTCCCTGCCACAACTGGGCAAGGCGCTTATCAGCGGCCGAGCGATCCATCGCTGCGAGCGACGGGAGATTTACGAGCTGGTGGCGCCGAATTATCGTTGGTCGGCCGTGTAAACCGTCGGTCGCCGCGATGGATCGCTCAAGCGATCCGTCGCTCCTGCAATTTGTGCACAATCGCTCCAATCGCAAAGTCTGATATCGGCCATTGAAGCTGACCTACCTCCCGAGAGCTTCTTGAAAAGAGTGCCGACTTCCTGGCTCAAAAATGACGTAGTCGCTTCCGACGGATTGACCGGTAACCACACCAGCACCACCAACAAGGCTAAAAGTAGTAGCTCGTAGCTAGGAGATTACCAAAACTACACAGTAAACACCGTAACGGATGAGAAACTATCTCAATACCTTAGAACACCGTCCACATGAACGAAACTTTTAGGATACGACAAGCGTTATGCCTTGGATGCATCTGTGCACTAATTGACAAGACCACATCAAGAAGGCAAGCATATCGTAGAAAACTTCTAACTTTTCGACATCGAAAGCAGAAAGTTGTACCTGGACGAGCTAACACTTAGGGGATTAAATCCTCCTTAACTTCACAACACTATCAAACACCACAATGTGTCTACAATCTTTGTTTCAGATCACTTGGAAATTGCGATAATGCCACCAGTTGCGGGAAACGGCAATGTTGGGAAAATCTCACGAGTGCGCTTGAAGGTGGAGATCGCACTGGAAGATAACTTCACATGGGAATAGGAATACCCTCCTTTACTACAGAGCAAATATTCGTTCCAAAATCTTACAAAAATGAAAAATGCCAATACAAACGAGAGGAAAGTGGCTTGGATTCGATTTATTCGAGATTCGCGTTGGTCATATCAGGGAATCACTTGATGCACTTACGGGGTAGAATCGAGCAATGAGAAGATCACCGAGTTTCTCACGTGTCAAATACAATTAGAGCAGCCGCACAGAGCTTATTGATCTTCCGGTGCAAGATTCGCAACAGGCGCACACCATTGCGACCATGTCAACGATAAGTTACCATTCAACCAGCGCAAGTAAATTCATCGAAACGTTCATGAGAACTCAAGGTATTTGTCTTGAATGCAGTGAAAGATGTAAGTATTCATAAGACTCCCACTCCCCTAGTTAAGTATCTCGTATGTTACTACAACGCTCACAAATAGCACTGGAAGTAGTGAGAAGTAAACCAACCCTGCGGCGAGGTTATCTATGATATTTCCATAAAGATTTGGCATGACCATCACATCGAATTGTTCTGGTTTTGCCACGAGCTGCATGCAAGTGTTGTCAATGATCATCTGGTCGAACTCAATCTTGGGGTATTGTGTAGCAATCTAGGAAAAATACCACAGTGGCCAATATGATAGAAAATGAAAATAAAATCATGGAATCGAAACGGAAATGACGGAGCGAAAATACCTCGCCACATATTTTCAGGAATAGCCCGTCACCTAGTTTCATAATATTTGCCTTGTGAACAGCCGTGACCTGAAATTAACACATAAATGTACTTCACACTCTGCCAATAATTGATTCTTGAACGGTTATGAGATCTGTTTTTGGGATAAAAATTTTGGAGTGGTCACAGTAATTTTCTAGCTACTAATTAGACATTCATATGACTGGTTCATGAAAACCGTTACGCCTCAAGACCCTTCCACCATCGTGAACTCTGCCGCAGGACAGTAAAACAAGCATATTAAAGCAACTCGTTCCAACTGTACAATGAATCGAAAGCGTTCCGAATGAGTGGAGTTCTCAAAGAAACTCAATCAAAAAAAAATAAGAAATAGAAATTCTACTAAAAACCGGATCGTGAAAAACTACCTTTTTTCTGCCGTGCTTAGTTGCATAGTCGAAGGCGAATTTGGCTATGCGTTCACATTTTACTCTCGTAGAAATCTTGAGACATTCTATCACACCTGCAATGGATAAAAAAACATTAACCATAAACTTACAAACAAAGCGGACATCTCAGAATGCCATATTGAAGACTAACAAAAATGCTCTGCCTGACAGAGAAAATTAAACAAGAACTAGAATGAAAGCAGCAAAAATAAATACGTCACATCACGCTACGATAGTTTTCACAGGGAACCTACGAAGAAAGCACAAGAACGTACCTGGAACTAGCTCATGCTCCAAACTGGAGTACTCTCCTTCTGTTTGCTCTCGAACAATGACGAAGTCAAGATTCTTTCCATGACGAGTTTTAATACCCTCCAGAGACTGCAACAGCCAGCCAATTACCGAAATGTTCAAACAAAGAAAAAGTTAATGCAAAGAGATAATCCGCTCCTAATCGTATTAACTACGTTTGATGAACATTGAGCGCGTAAAAAAATATGTGACCATCGAGCAGAGGGTGAAATGGTGAACACATCCCCAGTGAAGAATTAGAAAGAGGGGAGGAATGTACACACCAATTGACGGAAATGGACAGAGTCGAGTTGATTCGTAAAACTAAAACATTGGAATTGGAAATAAAGGTTGTAGGACAGATGGCCTTCCAAATGATGAAAAATCTCCATGACTCAAAAATAAGGGAACGGATTTGTATCAAAAGGATTCCTTCGCGACCACGAAGCCTGTGTAAACAATCGGAGATTTTACGACATAGATCAAGCACCGATAAACATCAACATTAGCCATTATACTTCTGGGAATAGATGAAGAAATAGAAACAAATAAAAATGATTTACGGTAACGCACACAAACGTATATGCTGAAGCTGTGATTTTTCCATTCATTTAGAACGAAAAAAGAAAGGTGAAGGGCAAAAATACGAGCTTAAGCAGTATTAAAAGGCACCTTGATATGAACCACATTAGCGAACAGATCAAGAGCCCTACGAAGTCGCATATTGAGTCCACTGAGCTCCCCTTCTGTATGAAGAACAGCAGATTCTTGGATTGCTCCTTAAAAAAGTTCCTCAATAACAAGAAAAAAATCGTATTTCATCAACAGAATGACATAGTATAGCAACTTTTGCAGCGCGGACGAAGCTCCCGCCACTTAGCATTCACCCGAGAGGTAACATGGTCCGTACATGACCATCAGAAATAAACATAATGGCGGTTTTATTGGGTTGTCTCATAATTCTTGTCGCAATTTCGACACTTTTGTTTACCCAAGATTTATCTCTTCTAGGAACATCTGATTAATGACATAACCAGCTGCAAGGCAGCCATCAGAAGTGCCGCATGTTGTTGTCGCAGTGGACTCATGACTCATTTTCACTGATGACCGATTAGGGAAGGCTCTGCTTTTGCCGTTCCAGAATGGATTTTCCCCAGATGGTCAGGCGTGCTTCCCGCTCATGGTCGGCCGGACCATGAGGTATCCATTGAAATTTCATTCTGCAGCAGTCCTTGCCATAGTGATGGCGTTGCTGGTGCACCGGCTGCGCTCAGGTATCTGCTACAATACCCTGGTAGCAACATACGGAGGCACTCCCAATTTAGGGTGCAAGGGGGGCTCATCAAAAGAGACCACAGACCCAGTATGAGGTTGAAGTTCATAGCTCGTTTCGTCTTTGCCGTTGCGATTGGACAACTTGTTCAGTACCCTATCAGTAGCAGACTGGGTCAAACAGAGCGCTGGTCTTCTCTGTTGTCCTCCTTGCAACAGTGTCCATTTGAGGATCGTAATTCATAATCATTCATTATGGTCACTGACCTATTTTTATTCCTAGTTGGTTAACCCATTAAGGGCTTGCGTTTCCGAAACTATACTGTTAAGGCTCTTGAAGCATACTTCAACATACTAACGTATTTCGCAATGAAACGGCCTTAGACGGAAGAAACTTGAAATTGAATAGAAATGCGACAGGAATTATGAGACAACCCAGTATGAAGAACGGAGTTGGCGTGGTTTTACGAGAATTTTCCTGGATGTGTGTGAATGGAATTCCATAAGATGAAGTGCATTTTTATTGGAGGCATGAAACTGGTTCTAAAATTTAGCTTGCACCGTTCATATCTCGAAGTCTGACTGGGAGTGTCACCGGAAATGACGTGGCGGCCACCGCACTTGATAGATGATGTGTGGATAAAATACTCTACCAGATATCAGCAACGCGTATTGGAAGGAGCTCATCCGCGCAACTTCCATCAAGTGCGGTGGCTGCTAAGTTTCCGGTACACGCTCAATCAGACTTCGAGATATGGACTGCATATCGATGTAACTTTCACTCAAAACAGAAACATATGCGTTCAACCTTACGAGCTCTAGCGTGAACAAATTGAGACTTCTCCAGCTTGTCCCTGAACATTCCCAAGCCCAGACCAGACGGACGATTTAGAGAGGTGGTGCGTTTAGTTTGAAGTCATTCAAAATTCGCGAGGCATTCACAATCGAAGTAAACGCAAAGCTAAGGAAACGGGAAAGCCGCGTTACTCTTCTTAAAACTGAAGCACACAGGAATAACAAATAAAGGTTGAAAAACACGTAGTTTTTGAAACTTACATAATTAGCAGAGAGCTCTACGACACAAAAACCGAGCTGTGACTCCATTTTTAGGCCGTAGAGCTCTTACTGATTGAGTTCTGTTTTATATATAGCATGTAACGATCCATATGTAAGATATATTCCTCGCAAAGGCGGATATGCAAAAAAGTAACACTACTAACAAATTCCAAAGCTACTGTTGTGGGAAACCGTACCTTTGAGAGCAACATTGTTATTCCGAGCAATGGACATGACTGCATTCTCTATTGATGATGATCTAGTATAGTGCACTTCAGATAGAAATACTTCTGAAAACGACCAAGTATAGAAAAGGACTTCAGATGGAACATTGCTGTCATCAAAATTGGAGACTGAATTCTGCTTTCATTAACTGTGAAGCTGCTTACAGCTCACCTAGAAAAAAAAAACAACGCGAAAGCACTAAAAAAGCAAGTGATCCAACATCGCTTGGCATTCAAAATAAATAAAAAAGGGAGGAACACGATAGCACCTTCGATAAAACGGTAGCTGAGACAGTGAGACTGCCGAAACAATGAACTTTGGAAATGATTTGCGCCATTACAGGAGCCGCATTCTGAGAACACTCCGCGGTCGTTTTGCTCGTCTTGCACGTATGATGGCAAAGGTGCTTGCTATCATCAAATTTATGTACCATTCGGGTGGAACGTAGAAATATCGAAATGTCCACAGGCTGGCTCGATGTTAAACTCGCAGCATTAGTGACTTTTTATAAGAAAGCTTCAACATGAAGAAGCTGTGGAGGAAAGGGACACGAAAAAAGGCACACATGAACAACGAAAACTAGGACGATATTTTCTTAGCTTCAAGTAGAAGTAGGGCATGCTAACCCGCCAAAGATAAGCTCCTAACAAGCAGCACTGGGCGTTTTATCTCTCGCATGAGCTAGCAGAAGAAATTAAATACTATAACAGTACGAACCTTCGTGGAAGGTATCAACAATTAAAAGGAAAGAAACTGCGCAAAATGGTACGAAACTCTAATTAGAGAAATGTTATAACACATTTCGGGTCTATTCCACGACTGGGTGCATTCCCAAGTAATTCATGCCGATTACAGCTATCCTAATTTTCGAAAGGGGAAGGAAGCTCTAGGGTGGGTGAATAAAATAGCTTCTGCCAAATGGAAACTTGTGATCATTTTCTTCTGTGAGCCCTCATTTTAAAGGTGTTTTTGCAGAGGTTCTAAGTTTAGGTGTTCTGCACTAAAATGCCCCTCTGAAATGAAATAGAAATTGAAAGAGACCAACATTCTCTATGGAAAAGTACCTTCGAAATCCAAGGGGATTCCCGTATTTTTCACGATATCTTGCACGGTGTAAATAAGTTCCGGTCCAACACCATCACCAGGAATGATCGTTACCTTTAATTGAACCAATAAGCCAGTATGTACGACGGAGAAAAATGGAATTGAAGAAGATACCTTCAATTTATGGGCAACCGCTGGTGTGGGTACCGCCGCAGTGACAGCAAAACGTTGAGCTGTGAGCAGTTGATTACCAGCTCGAGCCGACGATATCACCATACGGGACAGCATCCTAGGGTTGTTACTAGTAGACACATAACAAAGTTGTAGGCCACATAAATAGGAAAACAGCAACGCAATGATCAAAACTTGATAACGGATGTTTACTAAACAATAAAGCTTGGACAGGCTGTTTAGCAACAAAAGTGCTTCGTTGATTGCGCGCGCTCGCGACGCGATTGGAGTCCGTGGAGCGCGTTATTTGAGGTACGCATGCTGGCGCCACTCTTGGAAATATGGGAAAAGACTCAAAGTTTTGCCCGAGCTATGTCTGAGGAGATAATCTGCAGAGTTAGACGCTTAACAATCAGCTCGAGAATCGTCACGCAGCTGTAATCCTCAAACCATTAACTGCCAGCATATTTCATTTATGAAAAGGCGTGACACGATTTTGTACCCCCTAATCAGATCGCGCACTTTCGAGCCGCTAAAAGTCATCTCAGTCCCTTGCGGATGGCTTTGTTCCACTAATGGAGTTTTTGTCCACTTAGATTCATCGAGGAATATGACTTGAAAAGGGCGTTGGAGATTCTAAATGATGCTGTCAGTAGTGCACTTCTCAATTTATGTGGTTCTTTTAAATGTCCACTAAAGTGAGTGCCAATGAGCTGATCGGCCAAACCAGAGGAGTGAGCTGCCAAAATTCTCCTATAATTAAATCATGGGAAGCAGCCTCATCCACAATTCTCTGGAAATCCATGCATCCGAGTGGCACATATTTTCAATATTCTCAATAGGTTTGGTTTTGTTGAACGACTAAAAATTTTCTTCTTCACGGCTTAGCACCATAAAGTTGTATTCAAAGTACAAAGGCATATTAAAGATGCAAAGATTTGTAAAAATTGAAGCCTTTGCATTTAGCAGCATTCGTGATTGTTAATAGCTCGTATTCGAGAACAGTGAGTAACTGATGAAGAGTCTACCACAGCTTTCGTCAAACAAGACTGGGAGATGGAAGCGCTTTGAGGAGAAGCATTCTGCAAGAAGGGTTACAGCGCATAATTTGATTATTAGAGTACTGCACTACATATCTGATTAGTACCGACGTGATGTGATGGCAAATGGCGTAGTTTGCCACATGCTAGTCAGGGGATCAAAACTCGGATTGAATATCGCAGCAGCCAACCAATCCCTTCTGATTGGATTGATTAGTAGCAGGCTCTCCAGGCAGTATATGAGCTCTAAGTTTAAGGGTTAATCGTATTTTGCCCGCTACAGTTTTAGATCCAGATGGGATACGTGGCGCATTCCAAAATCTAGGCATGTTGAAAGTGGCAGGTAAAAAGTGACCGGCTTCGTGGACATGAACGACTTTAGAGGGAGTGGCGGACTGAAACAAAAAATATCGAAAAGGAAAGATATCAAAAGGTATACAAAGGATTTAGTCGCTCTAAACCTGTGAGAGAAAGAGCTCTCAGCTTTCCAAGTGCGTAAGAAAAAACGAAGTGGCGCTATCGCAGGATACGGGGGCATTGTGGTGGAAATGCATTTCAAATCGCATAGAACATCTCCCTTTTGTCAAAATGGGACTACAATAAGTCTGAGGTAGAGAAGGAGAGGCTCCAGATTGAGAAGAACACTTTTTAGGTCTCAAATGCTTCCTCCTGGGTCTAGTCTTAGGGGATGCCCGCATTCTTGCCATAGCGCCAATGATTTTTTGAATAATCAACCGACTTCAGTGGACTACGTAGTTATTAAGTTGGACGAGTCTAGTTAGATAGGTAGCGCTAGGGATGACGCCATTACTAGGAGGGCACGGTATAAATTGTGTGGGAATAGAATGCAACAAAAAGTCCTCCCCTACTTCAACAGATCCTTCAGAAACCCTCGAAAAACTGCCGATTGATTCAATTCGATAGTTCGAACGTCACACCAAAGCAGGCAATCGTCAACGGGGGCGGACAAAAACCTCCATAATGGCGACGATTCGCACAATTGATTCCAGAAATAGCCACACCCATGAGGTCTACCTGCTGTACACCATGTAGCAACTATTCTTGAAGACTGCTCCAAAAATCGCGTGTTTCCAATGAATTATTAGTAAAACTTTCGTGAACAGCCTCCTCTTTCGTGCACTGGTTTTGTGACCCACATCCAGCGCACACCTCTCGCCCTTGCTCCATTAACGTATTGCAGTCAGAATAGTCACTCTACTTCGTCTGTTCCATGACTCCAACTATTCATCGATCAAGCACAAGACGCCCATTTCCAATCCTTTTTCCTCTCATCTTTAACCTTTTCGATACTATTCATGGTTCGTTCTGAGCGCACACAGTGATACATTTACAGTATTATGCCTGAAGTTGCATTCTATTACTGTAGGCTTGGAAGAAAAAATTGAAAATGAGTTCGCATCGAGAACTTATTAGTCATCAAGGGATTCATAGGAATGCTAGAGCTGCCAATTAAGGTTATTTTTGTTTCGAGGCTTGCCTCATATAAAAGACTACAGTCTGGCGTCTTCCCGCGGTGTAAACACGCTACAGCATCTCATCAGCTTAACGAAGGTTCTTTTAGGCGTCTATTTCTTCTTTCATGCTCTTAATGCCGTTCCGTTGTCTTTTCGTCAAAATCAGCGAAAACTACGAAAGTTTGCCCTAGAAGGAGCTAAAACGAGCCCTTTCCCTCTTCCTGAGTGTTTACATTCTGAGAGATATTCTTTTCGCAATTGTTTGCTTTGTAAGAGGTAAATACCCACGCGACGGCTGTTCAACGGTGACAACCCGGACACGCCACGCTCATGCGACTCAGCGTGATTGGAGCGCGCTTAGTTGTATGCCTTGGCCATCAATCATTTCAGTTTCAGTTTAGTGATATTAGTAGTGTTCCCATCGCAATAATGGGGATAAAGAGATGGTTTTTGGTTTACTTACTTGTCCCACATGTGAACGTTTTCGTCACTCATGTAGGAATATGAAGATAACGCTCGTTACAAATACAAATACAGTTCGCTCTTTCCACCGCTCCCTTAACAGCCATCTCTCTATTTCGGCGTCATTTTGAAATTAAATTTATCTGGAAATTGGGTGTATAACTTGATATTTTTCTTAAATGATATATTATGACATATTACTTAATTATTCTCTGAGTGAAGAAGTCGGGGTCCTCAGTACGTATGAATTATATATTTTATTTATAGAAATTCTAACCTAATATGTATAAAAATTATGAAAATAGCTTCGTTCCCTATATTCGTATTCCTATTTTTTTCTGTCACCGCTTTTCCTATATAGCGTTTTGTTTCTCTGGGTCTCACTGTCTCGGTTACAATGGTTCTGTCAACCAGGGGGTGAGAGTGCAGAAGGAAAAGCAGACGTTCTTTGTGGTAATGGGACCAAGCCTTTTAAAGGAGGTAAAGAAAGAGGAGATTCTGTAACAGTGCGCTTGTGTGAGAGCTCCCAGACAGCACAACAAAACGCTGAATTGCCTAGCCTCACGGATGACAGATGTCCGGAGACCCACTGTCTCTAGCCTGTCTTCGTTCACGTCTCGTAGTCTTTTTTCCTCCTCCTATCACTAGAAAAACCTTCAGCTGTTCACTCTTTCTGTACCTTCCGTTGCCTTCTCCACATATGCCTTATTTGGCTGTTAGCCTCGGCTGGTTATACTTTTTTATGGACTTTCTTCTTTCTATCTTTGCGCCTCTCGAACTTCCCAGTTCGATATGTGGCTGCCTCTCTTTTTACACCTGCCTCTGTCTCCTCTCTCTTTCATTACCATGACGAAAGTGCTCGGAATGAAGACTGGGGTGATCTCAAGTTTCTACTTCTTCTTTTACCTGCTGTGTAAGGTCTTTACAAGATTGCGACAAAGCCTTATTTTCCCGAAAATATCTTTAGAAACCGTGGAGTAATATGAATTGAAGGTAGTCGCTCAACGTATCTATCGTTAGGAGTCCTGTAATGCCCCTCCTTGCAACCAGATTCTACACTGCTTTAGTCGAGTTTGAGGACACCTTACGTTATGTTGGCATTCCAAGGGTCATCTTTGGGGACAAATTTATAGCGAGATTAGCTAAGAACACAACTTTCGAAGGAGATCCGCGACAGCCTTGAAAAAGTGAGGCAGTAAAGGACGACTAGTGCCAAAGATGCCGACATCCCAAAAGAATATTCTCCCGAAGATTCTGTGCCCATTCTATTGAATGGGCCCCTTCAAAGTTAACAAGTGTGGCTATCTCAACGAGCTTTGATCAATAGGGGCTGATACCGCCTTGGATCTTTACCTGATAATTCGTCTAGTTCTAGCATACAGTCTTTGAGGTGTGTAACACGTGAAGGAGGATTCCATGATAAGGTCGGAGTTCTCAGAAGCGAAAATATACCTTGTCGGGAGGCATTCAAGCCCTCCAACGGTGTCGGATGATGCGCGTTTCGTAGCGAAGGGTATACCCCCAACGGCCTAGGAGGCCGCACCCGCGCCGCTTGAACCGCTGCCCGCCCAGCGACTCGCTGGCTCTAGCCGTCGAGCTCTATCCGCGGACTCTATGCCTTCAGAAGAGACGCAGAAGGAGCGCTCCAACTGATGACATCATCACCTATGAGACACGCTACAGTGTGAGAGTCTTGTGCAAAGCAGGTCCAATTTCTCTGGTTCCAGGCCGTTTTTCGGTCTCCTTCATGCGTGCATTACTGCCTACCCTACCTTTGTTTCTAATAGTCTGTCTTTTTATTTTCCATCGTGAACGTCCTTTGATGCATTACCCTAAAATTTTATAGATAAAAGCGTTTAATAGGTACATACTACTGCTTAGTGCTATTTCGCGCCAAGTCAGAATGCGACAAATGCTCACAGATGAAGAATGACCGGAAGTAAAAAAGGAAAAAAACAAAATGTGGAAAAATATTTTTTCGACGAGAAACTGCATGTTTGTACAGCTTTTTCCTTGCAAAAATTGGAGCGCCCTTCTCTTTAAAAATTTTAGGACAGATGCAGCAGCATTTTTGCGTCAATTATGCACTTAGTTAGCACCAACACCTTATTTACATAGAACACAGCCTGTCAATTTTCGCAGCTATATTCATATTTTAAAATGTAAACCATTTATTACAGGGGCTGATGAGCTTTGTGGGCAGTCTGTTCAGGATCGCCTTCGCCTTGATATGGTGTAGTTCACTCTACTATGATGTTACTTACCAGCCTCGGCTTGGTCATAACTGGTATATCTACAAGCTTATTATGCTGACCAACCTTAACTTTGTGAGTCCTTCATTATTGACAGGTAAAAAGAATGCTTACAAAATGTGAGTAGTTTAGTGTTAGCGTTGGCTGTCATCAAGGATGTGCCGCGTTGCTAATGCCAGTTCAGGGTAGTGGAGAGTATTTAAAATATGCCCTCAGTAGAATAGTGTTCAAAACCTTTGGTGTTTCTTCTAGAGGTGACCAGCAAACGTTCCTGGATAATGTTGACCTTTATGCACTCATCATAATTGAATAAGGCACCCAATCCTGTATAATGACTTCGAGTAGAGGCATGTGCGTAGTGCATTGAAATCCATGGACCAACACCCAGCACCATCCCCTCATATTGTCTTCTAGTATTGCAGAAGGCTCCATGCTTAAATATTCGGTCAATATTTAAAAGCCTCTACCAGTGACCTCCACTCTTCAAAATCATCAACTTTACATTTAGATTCTTTAACAGAATGCGACGTATAGTTACGCTTGCCCTTTTCACGGAACATTTCTAGAAAGTATCTAATTTCATAATAATATTATGACTTCGTCCTGTTTAAGCCCATTTTTGCAGGTGATTTTGACAATATTTTCCGTCTTTTCTCTGTTGGATGCATTGCCTTTCACAAGCAGACGAATCAAAGATGGACTAGATTTCACTTTTCACTGCACCATATTCCCAGTCGCAACGGTTCGTTTGCTCTTGCATTACTTCCTACTAGGTTTTTTTTGTTTTGCGCAGCTTTCAGATTTTCATAGACGAATAGATCGACGTTATAAAACCATGAGTTTTCGCTCTGGAGCGGGATATCGCCTCTCGTTGAGTTCGATCTATTGGGTTCAAATTTTGCCATATCTACTTAGAAAATGTCAAGCTCTGCTGAGAGTGAAATGAATTTGTGTTTGTAAAAGGGATGGGGAGGGGGAGGGGGGAAGTTGCAGTTGTTGAAGGCACATTCCGCAACTGCATAGGCGGGGACTATTTCGAGAATGAAAGTATCTGTGCTCCCTGGTCCATAAGTAATGAAAAAGAAAAATCTGCTTAGAGCTCTTGAAATCACATTGCGTGATTGTATGGGCGAGGTTTGTGCCTCACCCCCTACGAAAATCTCATTGGTAAACGTTTCCCTAATATGGTGAAATACGGGAGGATATGGTAACGAGGTGAAATCAAGAATCGATAAGATTCCTGTAAGGGCGTGGCGCCAATCCCTCCTGTACAATTAGAAAGTAATGTGATTTTAATTGTTCTTCGCAGTTTTTTGTTTTCTTGCATTGTTGGTAAGCCGAGTAGCAGAGCACGTTCTTCTCGAACACAATAATATTCTCCTCATTTGGTCACGGAATGTGCCTTTAAGTGCTTACCTGAAGCTGGTACTTTATTTAGCAGGAAATTTCTAGCAAAATTGAATGCCCTTCTAGTCTGCGCACTTAGCCTCTGCGACATGAATTTATTTTTGTTCTTTCTATTCCGATTCGTTGAGGGCCGTGTTTGCCAGAAGGGGAGGGGGCTGAGTAGGGGTGGGGTTACAGGGACGCTGTAGTGCCCATTCTGTGACCTTTCACGCTACAACGATAATCAGTGACCACCATAAACTTGCTCGTGCAGGTTGTGGACAAATTTCTTCAAAGTTAACGGAAAATGAAGATGTAAATTTTTCAGGTTACCTGCCTTTTGTTCTGGGGTCTTTATGCTATCAACCCAGAGTTGGTCATGCCTGAATGGGTGGCGAAGCTGATTCCTGGATGGCTGAACCACGTCACCCACACTCTACCCATTTTCTACATCATGCTGGAGCTGCTTCTGTTCGCCAGAGAATCTCCTACGCATAAAAGTTCGGCGTCAATGGCTCTTTTACATATCGTAATCTATTTCGTAATGTGAGTTCAGGAGTATTCAGTGCATACGTAGATGAACTGATCTGACTGCATTACCAACACCAAATTGCCATACATAGTACATCATTATACTGCTATTATAATGTGCTTTAGAATCTTCACCGTCCGAATTGTTGATGGCTATTGGTTGTATCCATTACTAGAATTGTTCACAATGCAGCACTATGCCGCTACTTTCATCGGATCTGTACTTGGATACTACTTGTTGATAAGGCTTTCAGTTGCTCTCTCAAAATATTTTACAGGTTAGTTCTTGATTTTCAGTAGATGACTGAATTCGAAAGCAGCTCGACGTGGCTGCAACATCACAAAGGGGGTCTTCGTAAATGAATCTGCGATACGTCTGAGGCAAGTACCAGACTTTGCGATCAGTCGGTGAGTAATCCCGCGCTTCGCTACGATTGATCGCAAAGACTGATCTCTAGCTGAGGGTCGCAGTCAGGGTGAGCCACGCGTGTCGAGGAATGTTGCTAATACGGGCCCCATGCAGGGCTAATACGACAGCCGCCTACCCTCCAGGATTAGTACGTCTAAGCTCTCTTTTAGATACTAATACGATCCAGTTGTGGCTAGCTTCGTTCCCAGGTGTCCTGACCCATCTTCCTTCCATTCTACGTATCATTGTATTTCAGTGGGGAGGGAGGAGGGTACATATATATTACAACAATGAAGATAGCAATAGTGCTGTCATACAACTGTCTCAACGACCCCCTACCACGGATTGTTCAACATTAGCTTATCTTGATGGCAGGCACAGCTATCGTGTACAACAAGCACAACAAGAGCGTTGTATTAGCTGCCAGCATATTTTCCCTCAAAATTCTCTACTCACTCCTCACTTTCCTCAATTTCCCACTATCCACTATACATCAATCCGCTTCAGTTACTCTACTTCTTCTGTAACTCAATTTTGTCTCGATCCTTTACTCCTTTCCTTCTATGTAGTTGTTCGAGGGACCCATATATTGGGGAGGTTTGAGGGAGGGGAATAGAAGGGGTAGGTACAATGAGCTGGGTGAAGTGCATATAAATACATGACGAAAAACTAAAAATTCCACAAGCTCTGCAACAAATACTGAACATATTCCGAATTCTCACACTTCCCGAAAATAGAATGTATATGAGCCCAATCATCCACTCGCTCTCAAAAGGTTATATGCAAGTCTCCGTAAGTGTAGTTAAGGGGGAATCGCGGCACAGTGTGTAGTTCTTTCCGGAAACAGTAATTCGATTTGTCCCAGTAGATGGGTCCAGTGTAGGCCAACTATTTTGTTTGTGCAAAGGGGAACTGAGGAGGTATAAAGGAAAATGTTCGCGATGATTATAAATTCATTCGATGCTCTGAACCTGAGCCTACAGTTCTTTCCCGTATTGCCGGAGATTCCTCAGCCCATGTGGATACGGAATTAAAGGCAACAATCAGGATTACATTGATGGGGTGATTCCACACAAATAAGAAAGTAGGGATGGGAGGGAGAAAAAAAGGAAGAACATCCTGAAATACACAGAAAACGCGAGTATTTTCCTCTTTGCTGTGGAGAAGTTCAAAAAACGGGCAGGGAGATGAGAGATAATGTGAGCGCGGAGAGTGGTAGGGAAGTCCGAGTAGAGAGAGCATAGCAGATCACCATAGCGACGCAGACAAGATATCAAACGGTGGGCGGGCCATGTTGTTTGTGGAGTCTGTTAGAAGTCCATGGCACCTAGGGTCCTAGTGACGCGTTTCGATGTAGAAAGGTGGCGCTACCCTTGAACTTGCGTACCCAACACTTCTAGCCATGGCAAGGGCTTCTTACATACATAGGTGGTTCTGAGCCCTAACTCTGCCTTTGAGCTTCTTGTTCCTCGCAAGCTCAGTATTAAAACGGACGTTTGACAATGCTGCGTGTAATACTAGCATAGTCACAGTGATTGAACCGGACTAGCTCACAAGCAAAGAAGCCTTGATTCGAGCATGCGTGGCACAGTCGCTAGGTCTTATATTACCTGCGCTTCCGCCCAAACTCGCCATCCGCACTTGTTTAATGGTGGTCCGCAGTTGTGGTGGACCCTTCGTCTCCGTCCTCCCTCGTCGCTTTATCGTCTGCTCTTGTGTCTTGGAGAGAATTTTCTTTGTCAGGTGGTGGTGCAGTGTTCAACACCGCTGCCAAGTCGAGAGCCTTATTGTTTTCAGCAATTTATTTTGTTTGTTTCTTCACGGTCGGATCACGTCGTTTCCGCGATCTCGTGTAAACATAAAGTTACTCACCATGATACTGTAAAGTTAGAATGTGCCTCCAATGTATAATACTGTCACAAATTTCAGGAGCCAAGTCGAAAACGCACTCAACAAAACCAAAGAAATACGCCTGATAAACTGTGATATATTTATTACACCTGACTTTATTCTAACTATATCTGCTCTTCATAAATATGTCAATATTCGAGAATACCGCATTTTTAACAAAGTGACATATAAGCATCGATACTGCAAAAATACATAATTACTTTGTCGTAATATCATCACTTGAAGTCCTGATAACAAAAAGTGAGCTCTTTATCCCTCGCCGCTGAAATGACATGCGTTGTTGACTTACGGATATGCAGGAAGGTGTTATATCTCATGAATAGCTTTTTTGCTGTTTGGATGAAATCGTTGCATACGGTGTGCGCTTGAGCTCAGGAGCGTGGACAAAAAGGGATTTGTTTTGGGAATCTGTGAGGTGAATTGTATTATTAATGATTGTGTACTAAGGGTGAAACTCCAGCTCGGGGAGGGGCCACTCCCTGTTATCTTGTCCGTAGTACTAGAGAGCACTCCTTTGGATTTGGATAAGATAATAGGAAAGCGACTCATTTCAAGTACATTTTTGATAAGGACCGGTGTACGCCTTTCACCACGCCCATCCTGCTCACGTCTTAGGCAATTGATGGCATGTAGTCGTCCTTTGCGCCTAGGAAAGGATGTCCATACCCTAATTCAGGACCATTTCGTCGGACCACACCCAGCCATAACCTGAAAACATCCTAAGAGTACTTCCACACTGCACCGCCCTTATCGATTACATATCAAGAAAAGAAGGGGAGACTTGACGAGGAGAGAGACTCTTGAGACTGCTGAGCCGAACAGACTCTCGTTTTACTGGCTGCGGTATGAGGCTATGTCAGACTTCGCGAATCCACTGAATCGTTATCTAATATCAGGGTAGAGCGATGTGCCAGCACTTGAAATAATGCGCCAGGAGCATTCGCCAGTCTCTAACAGTGCCAAGTTGCATCATTCGAACTGTTGGTGCATCGTCTGAACTGATTACACATCGCTCATACGTTGGCTAGTACCCCGATTCCTTAGCGATTCGCTGAGTCTGACATTGGCCTGAAATTTCTTTTGCTGTCGTTTAATCGCGAGTCCGTATGCTCAGTATATCAGATTAACCCTTTGACTACTGGCGGGACACATGTGTCCCACTTCGCAGTCAAAGACACACCACAGTACCAGGGAATATTGAGGCAGGAGCACCCATTCGTAGCTGAATTGTGCACATATAGAAACTTACTTTGTAATTCTTACTCTGTCAGCGAAGTATCAGAAGTACCAGCGAGTTACGCTGGATAAGTTGATAAGCAAGTCGTTCCACAGGTCCCTGGGCAGTGTGCACAGCTCCCGAAAAGGTAGTTTTTGAGTCTCACACTCTTTGTATTGGCTTAAAGATTCTAATATTTCCCTCAATTGTGTGAAACAGGTGAAACATAAGCAAACCGATGACGGATGGAGGTTTTTATCGGTCGCAAGCCAGTTAGAGGACGGCAGGGTTTTACGACTGCGTTGGAAATTCCAACCTTACTCGAAAGCTGCGTCATCATAGGAGTGCGTAGAGCACTCCTATGATGACGCAGCTTTCGAGCATAAACACCAGGGAAAGTTTGTTAGGGGAGACGCAGCCGTTGGGTGCAGCCTGTAGGCAGGGGAGCAGGACTTCTACAAAGTGCGGCTTGCACTTCTTTTCAAATGCGTTCCCAACCGGACATTGCCCTCTTCCACGAATGAGATGTGACAAATGTGTGTTTGTTGAATGGTCATTGAACTGTTCAAAGATGCTCATTCGAGCGGAGATGGTGTGGTGACAGGAGGGGCCATTGCCGCGCATATGGTCTCTGGATCGAATCCCAGCTGAAACCCCGCGCGAGTCAGCCAAATTTCTACAGATGATTAGCCGTTGCTAGAAGCGACTGTTACTACACAAAACACATCGATAACTTGTTTCCAAAAAAGTCGTAGTCTAAGGGTTAATGTCCATGAAGCCTCTATCTCATCGTGCCATCGTGTGGATGAATTGTGATTATTAATCACAGTACACAGTGGTATGGTCAAACACTTTATTATGTACGATATACCATAATGCGCCAAGTCTGTCTGTATCTCTCTTGTTGGTCCGTCTGCCACAAAATTCGGTACTAAAGAACTACCTACGAGCCAAGTTCAAGATAGGTGGGGTATGGGTCAAGAAATACAAAACATGAATCTGCTGGGCGGAGTTCCGTCCACAGTGGGCGGGGCACGCGCTGGATTGTGCTGTGCCAATGGCACAAGTTTCTTCAGTTTTAGAGCAGCCCGAAGACCGGGTAAAGATGGATAATGGTGGCTCTAAGGCGACACCAAATTAGGGAGGCCTGCCCGCGGTGCGCGATGGGCGAAGCTTAATGAAAAAATTCATAGCTCGATTAGGAGAAAGCTCATGGGAAGAATCGGTGTAGGAGAGCAGTATCCAAAATGCTCCTGACATACTTGAATTGGGGAAGCCCGCCCACAGTGGGCAGAGCGTGTCCTCGTGTTCCTGGCATACTTGAATTGGGGAAGCTCGCCCACAGTGGGCAGAGCGTGTCCTCAAGTGAGGAGTGTTTGTTTTAAATCCTCATAATTCCAAGGAGCAAGGTGAGCAGATGGAGGGAAGGAAGGTTAGATGCTTGGGTGGGCGTGACCAAGGTGGGAGGAGTTATACACGAAATTATAGCACGGTTCTAAGAAGACCTGGAGTTGAGGCACGCCCACTCTCGAATGCACTTGTTTTCGTTTTCTGAAAATCATTTATGGTTTGGATAAGTTGTTGAGAGCTCGGGTGGAGCTGGTTCAGACCAAACAATTATTCTGACAAGCATCTTGATCCGAGAATGGCGCTTTAGTAAGTTGTACTTCAGCTCGATTACTCTATTGGATATGGAAATCCCAAAGTTTGGGCTCCGATGTGAATAGTACATCTCGAAATAGATTTGATTTCCGATAATTTCCGAGAAGGTGGTCAGTCTGGTCTATTTCGAGCTACCTTGGCCAGCGGTAGTGGAATAACGATGAATGAGATTAGCTTCATCTGATATGTGAACCGTTTTGAAATTTCCCGCCTTTCTTGTTGGGTGGAGGTGCTGAAAGTGATTAGGTAGAAATCGACCCAGTAAGGATCGAGTCCTTTCTTGGGAGTGCAGCAATGGCTTATAGGTTATATTGGATTGATGGACCTCGCACGACTGACTTGCAATAATATTTATTATTTGATACAATTTGGATGGCAGTTTCTTGAATACGAGTGTGACCGCATGTCTCCCATAGCAACTATTTATGTTTGTTTTTAGTCTAGCTAAACATTTCATGATTGTCAATGCTTTTATTCAACTCCTATTGAGCTAGTGTAATATCATTCTTGTGCTTCCTTGCATACAATGACTCGGGTTACAGGTTCTTCTTCTTGCTATGGTAGGTATAGCACTTGAAATTGGAAATGCCGACATTAATTGGAGATCTGTTGATTTATTGATGGGTGTTTACTCTGCTGACGTCAAGTCTCACGGTAATGATCGCGTTAATGCCCTTGAATGCAGCATACTTTAAGCAGGACGCTATGGGCGGTGCGGTTGGTGAAGCTTTCCACCCTGAGTAGAACCAGAGAATTTGCCACTGGTAATCTGCTCCTGGTGCACCAAGAAGTTTGGTTCTGTTAAGCAAAGGAAGTGTTTTAGAATCACTCCTTTTGTTACATGTACATCTGGAGCGTAGTATCAGAGCAATGGTGATTGTAATGATGGGTTTTTTGGCTATTTATTAGGGTATACCATGAAAGAGAAAAATTCTTCGCCAGCACCGTTAAGCAACCAGTTAATAATGCCTGTTGCAATTAGTAATTGAATACATAGCATTATTCACCACCGTAGCTTTTGTGAAAAGTGTGAAGGCAAGCTCAGCTTGTGCCTCAGGTTAGGTGGGCAGTAATCTCAGAGCTAATCAGATAATGTTTAGACCAAATTTTCCACCCTATTAAGAATTTCACTCACCTGCGATTTCTTGTATCCGTTGCTTATAATTCCAACTTCTTCTTTTCAGGTTGGTTGAGTTGTGCAGGGTCGTTTAGGCGAAGAAGGACGAAGGTGTATAAGGAGTTGGTAAAGGTGAAGAGATTGGATGAAAGTCTAAATAGTTGCACAAAATCCTGGTTGCGGAATCCATGATGACGATGGGTAGGCCATGATGACGACGCTCAAGAGATTGATGGCGTCCGGCATGATGACGAAGATACGAAGTCTATATTCCGTACAGCGAGCTCGTCCCCGAGCTTCGAATTCCTTCCAAGTGTTTCGCGATCCTTGAAAGTATCCCTTTGTGGTGTTCAGTGGATTTCACTAAGCGTTTATTATTCAAACTACCAAACAAAGCAAGCAGTTCCTTTATGAGATACAAGCGAGTCAAGCAAGAAACCGAAAAGCGTCTGCTATTAGGAGGAGGAGCAAAGGGCCCCAGTCCTTCACAAAAAGATGAATAAGAACATGACAGCTGCGACAACGCTCCGAAGGTCGTGGTTTTCTACGACACTGCGGCGGGCCGCGAAAACGGCAACATATGAGTACAAAGAAAGATCGTGGTATGGCAGGCCGCATCACTCATCTGTGTGTCGTCGTCGTTGTCGCCGTTGTCGCCTCAGCTGTGAAGTACATAGCAGGCGGAAATTGAATATAGGAGCCTCGATAGCGGGAATACGTTGAACGGATAGCAGCAGCGGAATAAGGAATATAGCAGTTCAGAGAAAAGGCGGAATAGTATTGAATACAGAAGTAGTATCAGTAGCAGAATTATGGGCGCCTGTCGTCCGGGGGAGGGATCATGCTGGGAGGGGTGCCGTCGTTTGACCAGTCGTCGTAGTTGTAGATGGGGCTGGCTGGGGGTGAATTGAGGTGATCTAGGGTGAGGCTCACTCTAGCTCGGAGATGTTCAATGGCGTTCCTGTTGAACGCTATCTCTTCCTGTAGTGGCATCGATTTTGGAACGAATTGTAAGCATGTTGACGTAATTCTGCTCGGAGGTGACCCAATTGGGTCAGAACAGCTTCGAGCTGGAATATGACAGCGTTCATCTTGCGAGTGGACGAGTACTGAGCCTCATTGAAAATGGCATGGGTGACGGTAGGAAGTCATGTCTTTGAACATCTGGCAAGGACAACGGCCTTATACAAACGAGTGCATGATCTGGAGACGAGTGCTCCGCTGTGAGTTGAAAACAAGGGACAGGGTTGTGGTGTCTTCATGGATTTTCTAGTCGACTGATAAATAGATTAGGGAAAAGGAAGAGATTGCTACAGCTAATCACTTTACATGTAGAAATAATTTAAAAATTGCGTTTGCGTGGTGGAAAGTGCTGAGGCTTGTGAGGACAAAGCAGAATATTGTGGTCACTTCCACAAGAGGCACATGATGTGCCACAATCTTCCTGATGTATGGGCTGAAGACACTTGCGGCAGAGTCGCAAGGCAGAAGCTCGAATTGCTCTTGCAACAGGGTTGGGGTATTTGTGGCAACGACGTAGGGTGATTATCTTTATTATCTTCGATGGGGCAAAAGGTACAATTTGAACGAGGGGCAGAACGTTCAAGCAGGATATTGACATCCGACTGAATATTATTGCACAGATATTCATTGCGGTGTAGAATAGCACCGAGATGCTCGAGATTACCGCGAATATCGGTCGTGAAAAGGTCGAAGTCCTCTCTCGGACGAGATAGCGATGAATTAATCGGCTCAAGCTGGATTTCGAGGTCAATGCATTCCATGATTATCTGACGGAATGGTAGTGACAGCCGATTGGAACAGCGGGGGCTAGCTATTGTTCTGTAATTACTACTGGGAAGCACATCTGGCTGCAACAAATCGTATAAAAAGGGCTACGTATGTGCAACAAACTTGCTTGCGAAGACTTTAGAGCTACGCCTGCAGCCGTTTCTCCAGGATCCCCACAGCCAGAGACACTGCAGAGGCGATGATGAAGTTGATTGACTTTTCTGAACCCGTCCTGTCTTAGGTTCTTCCGTGTTTTTTGATGTTTCCATTGTGGTTGGCGGAGGTGATGGTTTTCGGTCTGGAGTGGAAACATTGACTGACAATGAACGAGGCGATTACATTCTAAACGGGTAATGTGCACGAGCGACCCACAAGGTTAGTGATGGTCATATAAGGATGCTTAATGTCTTCAATCACAAAACGTCTCCCCATTGGTTCGCTAATTCGGGACGGACGCTCGTCGTGCAAAAGCACGAGATCACCAATAGAAATGTCCATAGGGTATACCTTAGGGTGGAGGTCATATCATAGCTTGTGAGCTGCCGATTTCTTTGCGATTTCGTTCCCAACTGTCATGATTGTTTCTTGAAGCCGACGGCGAATTGGTCTGCGGAGTCGTGATACGTTTTTGAGTTACTAGTAGATTGATTTTTTTTCAAAATTACGCTGCTTCAAATTCTTTGAACCGCCTGTTCAAAGAAATTTGTTGTTGAAAATGGCGCGGTGCGACGAAAGAGAAGAAAGCAAACTGACCTAGGAGGACTATTCGTTCAAGTTAACAAATATCGCCTCCTTGTATTTAGTCGTAGGACTCTGTTAAATTTTAGTGCTTTTCTTGAAGACAACGAGAGCGTCGGATTAGGGGTGCTCTTTGTCAACTAATGTTTTCGTTGTTACTGGCACAAGTGATTGTGATTGTGATGTTGGGATGGAAGAATTAGCTGACAGAGAACAATGAGAAAACATTTTTAGGCGGTTAATGTGTACGACTTGTCGCGTAGAGCGACCCACACGGTTAGTAATTGTTATATTAGAACGACTAATGTCCTTAATCAAAAAAGGGCCTTTCCATTGGTTCGTTAATTTAGGACGGACAGTGTCGTCATGCAAAAGTATTAGATCACCAATGGAAATGTCCAGGGTATTATGTTGGAGGTTATATCCTAGCCTGTAGAGTGCCGATTTCTTCGCGATTTCGTTGCCATGATTGATGATTTGTCATGATTGTTTCTTTTAAGTCCACTGCGAATTGGTCAGCGTAGTCACCAGACGCGAATACGAGACGAGAGGGGAGTTCGAGGATGACATCACTCCATGTAATTGGGCACCTTCCATGGACAACGAAGAACGGGCTGCATTCTGTAGTGGTGCTTTACTGCAGTTGTAGGCAAAGACAATAGGTTGTAAGAAGTCCGGCCAGAGATCTTGCTTCTGAACAATACGCCGTTAGAGAGAGTCTGTGATCACTTTGACTAATCTTTCGGGTTGCCCGTGAACTTTATGATTATAGCTAGTCGTGAATCTATTGGTTATGCCGATTGTTTTTTTAAATTTTGAGAAGATCTTGCCAGTATAATTCGAACCACGGTCTGAAACGATTTCACCCCGGAGTCCCGTGCTTCGAAATTGCGATTTTAATCACTGATTCTGGTGTCTGATCAAGTAGAGGACTACAAATCACAAATTTACTAGATGCACATACCGTTATAGATATAAGCTTACTTCCGTCCAGCATTTTGGCAGCGGCCCTATGATGTCCGCGTGAATTCTCTCGAACGGTCTCTGTGGTGTTGGGAAGGTTATCATTTGTTCGCGTATTATGTGTGGTGATGACGTTTTCACCTTTTGACATATGGGACATGTATTGATGTATGTTATTACATCCTGATATAAATTCGGCCAAATGTACTTCTCCCTAATTGTTTTGTATGTCTTATGTGTTCCTAGATGAGATCCTAAAAGTGGGTTGTCGTGATGTATTGCAATTATATTGGATTGCATTTCTGGATCTGGTATGAGAAGTATCTATATCTTCGTCATGTATATGGTAATATAAGGAATTGATATGAATGGAGCATTGGTGTAACTTGTCCTCATATTCTTGAGGAGAGCGGTCTACTTTTTCCTGAAGAGATTTGAGAAGTGGGCCGTATCGAGAATTTCTTTGGCTTTCCTGGATCTCTTCGAGGGAAGGAAAGGATTGCGGTATTATAGCATTGATGCGTGGCAACGGATAGCGGCTCTAGAAATCACAAAACGTGTTATTTTTACCTGCTCGGTATTCTGTCGTGATGTCATAAGCGTGTATAGTAATTTGGTACTTAGCTAATCTACCAACTCGATCTGTGCATTAGTGGCTTGAGTGGCCATGATCCGTGACTAGCGTAATGGGCGCATTCGCAACGTATGGATAGAAGTGTTTTAGCGCGAACACTATTGCCAGCATTCCAGTTCAATGACGGCATAATTTTTTTCATGCTTGTTCAGAGAACGGCTACAATACGTGATAGGGTGTTCTCCATGTGTTTTTGGATTGCCCGGAGGCACGCGCCCAGTCCCGCGCCCCTTGTAGACGCATCAGTGTGCACAATGCATGGCTGCCCCAAAGTGGGGAAGAGACGAGATGCTTATTGGGCCTCTTTCTTAAGGTCCTCTTCCAAGGAAAGAAATGCTTGTTTGTGGGAGTCTGACCAGATGAACGGAGTGTCTTTCATCAACAGGTTGTGAAGCGGAGTAGCGGTTATAGAGAAACGCGGTAGGTAGCGACGAAAATACGAAGCAGCCTCTAGAAACGGTTTAATTGCTTTAACATTTGTATGGCTGGGTATTTCTGCGATGCTTGCCACCTTATCCGGGTTGCGACGAGTGCCATTTTTGCTAATAAGAACTCCTAGGTATTTTACTTTGGTTTGGAAGAATGAGCACTTTCCGGAGTTAGCTTCATTCCAGGCGCTCTTATGCGTTTGCATACTTCTTGAAGGTCGGTCATATGTTGGCCTATGGATTGACTTGCAATGATATCGTCAATATGCGAAACAGCATTACCGTAGTTCACAGTCTTCTTTTATTAGTCGCATTACTCCGCTGAAGTTGATTGCCTATTCTGAAGCCGCCGAGAACGTCGCATTGCATGTTGTACCGCATCCTTTGATGTTCCCCTAGTGGTTGACGAAATTGATGGTGATCGGTTTGGTGTTGAAACATTAATCGGTAAGGAACGAGGAGAATCCAGCTTGAACGGCGAATGTGCACGACTTGTCGCGACGAGCGACCCACAAGGTTAATGATGGTTATATTAGGACGCTTAATGTCCTCAATCACAAAAGGGCCTTCCCATTGGTTCGTTAATTTACGACGAACAGTGTCGTCGTGGACCAATGGAGTGTCCCTTGGGATATACCTTGTGGTACAGGTTCTGTCCAAGCTTGTAGATGGCTGATTTCTTCGCAATCTCGTTTCCAACTGTCATAATCGTCTTCTTTAGGCCGACGGCGAATTGGTCTGCGAAGTTGTCCGACGCGAACACGGCATGGAAGGGAAGCTCGTGGAGACATCCTCCTATATTATTGGACATCGCCCATGGAGAACGAAGAGCGGGCTATATCCTGGGTTGTACTTTGGCTACAATTACAAGCAAATACAATAGGTTGCAAAAAAACGGACCAAGAATCTCGTGATTCAGAACAATATCTGCTAATGAATTTTTGATCGCATTGACTAGTCTTTCTGCTTGTCCATTTGCGTTATGATCATAGCTTGTAGTAAATCGATTGGTTATGTCTAGTGTTTTATCTATTTTGGAAAAGATTTTGCTAGTGTAATTTCATAGCTGTGGAATGATATAATTCTGAAAAGCATGAAGATGCTGTGCGCTCCTTGTGGCCTTCTGCCAAAGGTATTTGAAAGAAACCGCTTTTAGAATTGAGCGCTGTAGAGATTTCTTTCCCGCGGCAAGAGTTAGAATGTCTCGCATGGGGGGAATACAGCAAGTTTCAGCCTCAGTGATTGCGTTAATCTGCCGTCTACCGTAAATCGCCATTGGTCTTTTTTTGGACCTCTCTTAGCCAGAACTACCAGCGATGTTATCTTACTAGTGCTTGGCTCAATTATAATACATCTCATCTCTTTAATTTGGCATTATATTATATTTCCTGCAGTTTTTCTTGAGGAACACGTTGTGGTTTTTGCTTAGGAACCTTTGAGTATAAGATCGCCATCAGCATTTACAAAACAGTCTTGGTAATTCTCTAGTAACGCGGTCTGAAACGATTCCCCTTGGAATCCCATGTCTCGAAATAACCTCATTGATTAGTGTTTTGATTGCAGACTCAGACGTTTGATCCACTAACGAACTGCAGATTATAAACCTACTAAAAGTACATACCGTTATTGAAATAAACTTACTTCCAACTATGCACTGTGGCAGGGTCCGATGATGTCAATGTGAACGCTTTCGAACGGCCTCTGTGGTACTGGGAAACTGCCCATCTGTTCACACATTGTGTGATTGTGTTTTTACTTTTTGACATATGACAGGAATTAATGTGAGTTGGACATTCTGATATGAATTTTGCCAAAAATATTTCTCCTTAATAGTTTGTATGTTTTGTTTATACCAAAATGAGATCTAAGGAGCGGATTGTCGCGAAATATGGCAATTATATAAGATTGCATGGCTGGATCCGGAATGAGCAATTTTGCCTTATCATATATGGTATAATATAAGGAATTGTTATGAATTGAGAACTTATGTAATGTGTTCTCGAATTCTTGAGGGACTCCTCAAGTTATTTTGCGAGAAACTTCAAAAGTGGAGCGTACTTTGAGTTTCGCTGGCTTTCTTGAATTTATTCAAGAGAAGGAAAAGATTGCGCTATGGCAGAATTTATGCTTGGCAGTGAAAGCGGCTTGAAAAAATAACACAGTGTATCGTGCTTACCTGCACATTACTCAATTTCAATGTCGTATGTCTGATAGCGATTTGGTATTTAGCTAAGCGGCCGACCAAATCTGTGCGATGCATTAGTGATTTGAGAGGAGCGTAATCCGTAACCAGCAAGATTCGCGCATTCGCTACGTATGGGTAGAACTGCTTCAATGCAGAAACAATTGCAAGTGCCTCCAACTCTATAACTGCGTAGTTCTTCTCGTGCTTATTTAGAGAGCGACTGCAGTGTGCGATAGGATGTTCTCCTTGCGTTGTTTGGTTGGTTTGCAATAGACATGCGCCTACGCCAATTGTGGATGCATCGGTATGTATTATGTATGGTTTTCCAAAAGTGAGGGATACCAAAACAGGGGCTTCAATTAAAGCTTGTTTCAGGAATGCTTGCTCCTGTGCATCGGTCCAGTTGAATGGGGTGTTTCTGATTTATAAGTTGTGGAGCGGAGTAGCGATAATGAAAAAACGCGGTATATAGCGGCGGAAGTATGCGGCTCCTGAAAATGATTTAACGCCTTCAACGTCATTTGGACGCGTTAGATTAGCAATGCTCTCTTCCTTGTTAGGGTTAGGACGAGTTCTATTTTTGGTAATTAGACACCTAAATATTGTACTTCTATCTGGAAAAAGGAGCATTTTTCCGAGATAGGTTTCATTCCAAAAGCCAGAATGCGTTGGAATACCTCTTCAAAGTCGATTAAGTGCTGCTCTATCGATTGGCCCGCTACTATGATGTCGTCGATGTAGGCGAAACAGCATGATCGTAATTCCCTTATCAGGCTGTTCGCTACCCTCTGAAATGTAGCGGGGGTACCTTTAATGCTTTTGCCATCACTGTAAAATGGTATGAAAAGAAATGAAGAGAACCGTGTAGATTTCTCTTCCGCTTACAAGATCTAATATATCTTGCATATGCGGTATGCAATAATCAGTAATGGCGATAATCTACAGTGAAACGCCATTGATCCTTATTCGGACCTTTCTTGACCAGAACTATGGGGGACGCGAACTTGCTAGTACTGGGTTCTATGATATTAGTCCGTAACATTTCTTTGATTTGCCGCTCAATTTCTTGCCTCTTTGTCGGACTCGGAAGTCGAAGAAGTGCTGTAGAAACCAATGCTTGAGGTGGCTTTTTGGTTTTTAGCTTTTTACTTTTTACTTGCTGCATTGCATATCTTGTACTTTGCCAAGACATTTTAGGGCGATGGTAAAGATCGTGTCGACAATTCCAACTGCAATGAATTTTTCGAAAAGCCAACGTTCAACATGAGCACGTTCATTTGGCCGCTCTTCCCTGGAGGACTAGACGAAGGTACATCTGCATTACCGGATGTCCATACCAGTTGTTGAATAATTAATATGAATTTGTGCACTAGTTGAAGTACTTTTCAGGGTACACCCCGGGTGAAACAATTACTGCTTTTTCCAGTTCCCGATTACGTATATGAACACAACCAATTGCTAGCCTAGAGTACCAGAAAATAGTGTGTTTTAGAGAGAGAAAAAAATATTGGGAAAACTGTGATAAAGGGGACTCATCGCCAGGTAATTGTATTCATTGTGAGGAGAATAGTGCGACATGCACATCAACCCAGGAATACCATAACATAAGAGTGGTAAGCTCTTAATTCAACAATGTGGTTTACATTTGTAAACCCTTTTTTTCAAATGAGAACCGTAAATAAGGTTAAAAAGGTATTACTCACATGGGAGCCTCCGCTCCCTTCCTTGTGCTCTACTGTCGACTCGGCTGGACGTCAAGACGAAAAAACGGGGAGGGGAGGGTGTGGTATTGTGAATGGGGGGGTGTTAAACTTGCAAGAGAAAAAGTTAAAAAAAATTCCCTGGGACCTCCATATCAGAATGAAAGGCAGCCAGTCCTTAATCTGAAGGGTGTGTAGCGGTAGGTATAACTATATATAAACATAATAGCCTAATACACTTCATTCAAGACATTGTAATATGCGGGTAAGAGACTGAGGGACGGGGAGACAGTCCAGAGACTGGACTCTCGAGGAGGACGAAGCTGGCGGGATTCTGGAGACAGCCCGTTCTTGGCTGGCAGCTGCTTAAGTAGGCTTTCATGCCGTTGCGTCATCGTGAATTGCTGTGCCACGTCTCATAGCTGACCCCGCCTGAGAGCGTGGACAAGACAGGATATTTCAAAACATTAAACTTTAAACTCTCTAAAGGTTCTATATCGTTCGCCTCACGTCAAAGCCAGCGATCGCAACTGTTAGATTGTCCGATATGTAGCGTCGTGTTTTTTCTTTAGATAGAAAATTCTCCTTTAGAACCTAGTGTTCTCATATAACTTGCTATTTTATTCCTAAGCGAGTTGAATGCTCTATTGAACACATTGTATCTCTAATATCGTTACAAACTGACTGAATTACTAGCTTGTAAAATAGGTGGTACAGTAAACGAAAATTAGCCAAACCGACAAAACTAATCAAGCTGACTCAAGCTGTATGGTTCTCCGTAACAAATCATTCAGTGATGTACCATGTGTACTTGTTATCAACCGGGATGAACCGCTCGTTGTGGAAAGATCAACAAAGGAGTCGTATTTGGCCAATGAAGTGGGGGGGGGGGGTGGCGTAATGCAGTTCACAAAATTTGAAGGTAAAGAGGCATAGCAAAGTGCTAAAGGAGGGCAGGTTCTCAATTGCCACTGCGACTACGAATCACAGACGATTAAACCCTTCCCGAAGAAGGTTTTCATTTCAAAACTTTTCAGATTTCAGAAGAGTCAAGCATAAGCTATAATGGCCGATCTTGTGACTTTCCACGGTCTTTACCACTTCTCATTATACCAATTTCGAAGAAGCTTATGAGCGTTTGAATGTTGAAAACTCACGTTCCAGGAGTACACTTAAAAACCATGGGGGAAAATGGAACAACGGAACTAATTTTCGAAAAGGTTGTCCTTCAGAAAGGTTTCAATATTTGTTCGAAAGCACTGATCTTCCGGTTTCTGGTTGGCTCTAGTGTTCTGAGAATTTAATTATGAAGAAATGATGAGAATTCGCGTGCGCACAGAAAAAAAAACTTGGTGAATTTTCAAAGAATTGAACATTTACATCAGTTTTGTTACTTTTCAAGGGCAAACAGTTTGAAGTTTTGTAATTCTCATAACCCATTTCATTAAAACGGAAAAAATCAATACGTTTTGAATGAAGGGTTTGTATACATTAATGTACCTCAAGATTCAGTTTTTACATTCATTTCATAAAAAAGAGATCTAAAGGTTCTGAAAAAATTTGGTAGTTTGTGAAAGTGGAGTTTTTGCGAATACAGGCGGACCTATATTCTTGTGGAATGTTAGAATACTACTAATCAATGACGTACTAACTACCCACTGCCCACCTCCACTTTCCATGTCGATGACGGCCCATATACCAATGGGTGTAAAAATATGTGAATAGACATAAACAGCAGATTCAGAAGCGGAGATTGTACTTATACCCACTGAAAGAGTGGGGGAGGGGTTGCAACTTATGAAATCTGCGCAACGCACGGTTGACCCTAGCCACAACTTCTGCTTAACATTCTCTCATTGGACTGTTAAACACCTGGTGTCTTTTCTTTCTAAAACTCCATTATCTAGCCAGAACTCGATAGTTAACCAGTACTTCTTCAAATCTTGACCCGAAAGATTTTCTTGCAGAAACATTAAAAAAACTGCTGGAACACTTAAAATCAGTCATCACCGAGTACGGGCAAATACCCTATCGATTAAGATAAAAAAAAACTCCCCAAGAAATGTCGTCATTTTTACTCCTAAAATACCAGAATCATCCTCTTGCACCCCATCTTCTGTTTCTGGAACTTAATGCTCCCACACCTCTGCTCCCAGTTGCCTCCACTCTTCCCAATCTTTATTCTCATGTTCTGCGTTCATATTGTGCCATTTATGATAAAGTTTGTTAGTGGTTTTGTACTTGGTTGCTCAGCACTGCGAAACTGCTATTCAAATCACCTAAAGTTTGACTATAACATTATGTAAAAGCACGGAATATAAGTGGAAAAATTTTCGCTCAAAAAAACCGACACTTCTCATCGGACATCCTAATACAATGTTCTTCCTCTAGCAACACTGCGAATCTTTAACAATGACGTCATGCAGGATAAAACTAGTCAGTTTATTGCATGGGCCTATCTCATCAATCACAGACCTCCGTAAAAGGTGAGCCGTAGGAGGGTCATAAATCGTTCTCGGCGCCATCATCCGGTGAGGTCATTAATAACCCTTTGGGTAAATGTACCTAACGGAGCCACAGAAGCAGGACCCAATTCACAGTAATGTTAATTATGACATTTTTTACCCAAATTTTGTTTACGGCATGTGTTTTGTATTCTTTTGTTATGTTTGTATTTTTGAATTTAGCGAAGCCAGCTTTAGATGCTGAATAGGAATATAGCAAGAATATCCACTGATTCCTAATCGGCGGGGTTCTTCTTCATGATACTCCTAAGGAACAAACAGCGAATACCACTCCTCCGTGAATGCAGTAGTAGAATAATGTCAAGCAAGAATATAATACAGCCGATGAATAGGTCCAAAATATCGAACAGTGAATATAATTCTATAGTTTCAGGTGAATAGAATATAATACAGGTTGCAGTAAGAGTGGTGAACCTGAAAAACAAAACAATTTAGGAGATTATAGCAGTTGAAAAATACAAGAACTGAAATCAAAGTAGGTGAAAAATCACTGTTAACAAGTAGCATAGCAGAAGGCAAGATTCATAAGATGAAGGCACGAAGAAAGATGAAAAATGAGTGTTCGAGTTAGAAATGTCGTGCGGTCGTTTCGTTTTATGACTGAGTCGGTCATGTGAACTACTTTTATCAAAAAGTTCTGCCAAAAACCGAAATAAAGATTATAGTATTTATGTATGTATGTACGTGGACGTATGCCGTTTTCCGTTCAGGGCTGGGAGCTAGAGCCATTTCGGAGATTTCACTGCTGTAAGGAGGCCACCTGATGTAGAGGTCATTGTTTTGTCATTGTCATAGGATCGTCTAGACAAGA